AATCTTTAGATTTTAGATTCTAAGGGATTGGCAACAGTGTGATTTGTGGGTAAGATCTAACTTGTATATTGACCTGGGTCTGGGGCTTGGTCCTTTGGGGTCGAGGGAACCTTTTTTCTTTTACTGGGGTATTGGTTTTCATAACCATCTGTCCCCATAACGAGTGGCACTGGTGGGGATACTGGGAAACTGGGGTGTCTAAGGGAATTGCTTGTGTGACTTGTGGTTAGCCAGTGGGGTGAGACCGAAGTCCTCTCTGTCTGGCTGGTTTGGTTTGCCTTGGGGTGCACAGAAACCCCAGCCTGGGGCTGTCACTGCCCTGCTCGAAGCAGTTTGTCCTGAACTGGCACTCTCCGTGGGGTCCTGCCTGAACCAGCCTCGTTACACCGGTCCCTGAGCCCCACCACCCGGGGCTGAAGCTGAAGCCTGAGCAATGTAGCTTCGCGGGGCCCCTGCGGTGTGGGGCCCCGGGCCATTGCCCTGCTTGCTACCCCCTCACGCCAGCCCTGGCTTTTCTATGCAGAAAACCAGCTATTGTGGCACAGGTGGGCCCTGGAGTTTTTATAGCATGGGGGGAGAGGGGGGAGGCTCAGAAAGTAAAAGGTTGACAGCTCCTGGCCTGGACCATCCCAACAGGCCCTGCTGTCCTTGGACTCCCCCAGACGCCCGGGGCAGCCACGCTAAGCGGCTGAGCCCTGACGGGGACGTTACAGCCCCAGCTGAAATAAGCCTGGGGGGGACAGATCCAACATTTATCACTGCCTTCCCTCCAGGGCTGTGCACCCTGTCAGTCCCTGGCCTGGCTGCTCAGCCCGGGGCCCTGGCAGTGCCAGGTGGGCTATGGCTGTGGGCACGTCCCACCCGCCCAAGCCACAGGCCAGGCCCCAGACAGCAGCAGCCACCCCAGGCCGGGTTTCCAGGACAGCCAGAGGCAAAAGGCTCCGGCCTCTGTGCCTGCGGCTCTCCCTCCCCGGAGCCCAGCGTGGCGGGGGCTGAGCACCTCTAGCACCCCCGGCAGCTCGGCCATCAGCCCCATTGGTTCTGGTGCCGACGGAGGAGCACTTCAGCCCGTGCGTTCGCCGGTCCCACGTGGCCCCGGAGCTCCGGGCGGCTGGACCGGCCCAGGGCGGGCGGAGAGGCCGCCCTGGGATGCCGAAGGGCAGGGCTGGATTCCCAGCAGCCCCCCGAGCGCTGAAAGCAGCAGCAGCTTCGCCTCTGCCTGCCAGGCCACAACCGCGCCGGGCAAGCCGTGCAGCGAGCCGGTGCCGCAGCCCTGCCCGGGGGACCCGCGGCCTCCTGGACCTGGGAGCGTCGGGGTAATGGTGAACCCACAGCGATGGCAGCTCGCGGCCCGGGGGGCCTGGCCAGGCGCGGTGAGAACCCGAGGCTCAGATGCGCTGCCTTGGGGCAGCTGCCCGTGGCCCCCGGACGCCAAGGGCCGTAACCCAGAGGAAAGCTGGGCCCACGCTGGCAAGCGTTTAGGGGATCCCAGGGGCTCCTAGGGGCTTGGGCAACCTCCTGCCTTCTCCCCGCTCTGGGCTGGCGGCCAAGCTGCTGAATCGGCTACTTTAAGTGCCAGAAAAGCCGCCACCCGCAATTCGGTTCCCTCTGCAGCGGGGGCTCCGCCCCATCTAGTGGCAGAAGCCAAGAAGACACCAGGCATCGCTGCACTGCCCAGGCCTTTGAGGGGCCCTTCGGCGCCCCCCAGCTAGACGAGGCCCGCTATCGCTGGGGTGCAGCCAGGCGCTGCACGGAGCCCGCTGGGAGCTGCCGGGAGGCCAGGCATCCGCCAGGGGAGCGGGCCCACGAGGAAAGGGGCTCGGGTTCTCTCTTGCCCTTTGGGGCCCAGACTCCACTGGGGCATGCAGGACCTGGCCAGCCCCCCAATCTCAGTGCCTCCACCCGAGCAGGGCCACGCTGGGGAGCCGACGCTGCCTTTAGCCCCAGCTGCCAGGCCCAGCCCGTATCCGGGCCCTCCAGAGGGGGACGGGGGAGGCCCGGCAATGCCACGGGGGTGGGTTCACAATTAGGAGGCTTGGGAGCCAATGCCTGGCCTGGTGGCAGCTGCTCCCCCGGTGGCACTGGAAGGGAAGGTGCCAGCCCCAGGAGTGACCCACTCGCAGCTCCATCGCCATGACCCGGCTGCACCTCAGCCCCTGGGGAGGGACAAGGCAGGCGCCCCCTATTCTAGGTACGCTGCCACCTCTGGGGTGGAGTGTGGCAACTGGAACAAGGGACTGAAGGGGGGCTGGATTCCAGAGCAAACCTCAAAGCTGGGCAGGATCTTTAATGCCCATGGTGAGCAGAGAGGACCCAGGGTTCACACCAGTCATATTTCCCCCCCAGCCCCAGCCCGAGGGGATCCCCCTTGGCCCAATTTACCGTCCCAGTGACTTGAGCTTCAGTCGTTGGGCTCAGAGACCTAAGGAGGCCGCTGCCTGCCCAGTCCCTGCAGCGAGGAGCCAGATCTGGCTGGTTGGGCCTTAAACAGCCTCACCTGGAACAAAATGAACAGCCCCCCCACATCAAAACCTTGTCAAGAACAGCGATGCGGCTGGCACAGAGGGTTAGCCCGGGTTTGGGGGAGCGGATCCAGGGGGAACTGGGAGAGGAACCAGGCCAGAAGCCAACATCTGCTCAGCTGGGCTGAGGGAACCGCCAGAGATTCAAGGGGGGAAATCAAACTTGCTCCAAGAAACAAGCAAAAACTACTGGTTTGTGATGACAGAGACCTCCTCACAAATCTCCCCCTGCCTGCTCCTCAGCATGGCCGGTGGTGGGGAGAATGGCTGCCCAGAGGGGAAGGGGCCAGCTGGACCCCTCCAGCCACCTGGGACGGGGAGGGGCAGGGCCCTGCTTCCCCACGCACCCAGGCAGGGCAAGCCCCACGTGAGGAGCAGAGACGGCGACGGTCAGTTTCTCTGGCCCCTCTGGGTGGTGGCCTGGCCCCATGGTGTGCAGTAGGCCCTCGGACTGTCCCTCCCCTGAGAAGGGGGATTACTGCGGGACACTGCGTCAGCTCCACACCCCAGCAGCTGGGCAGCGCGGCCTCCATGTTCCCTCCAGCCAAGAACCTGCGCTGACCCTGCTGCCCTGAAGTTGTGGCCAAGGCCTGGCTACATGACCTCAGCAGCACAGAGGAACAGGCCGGCACAGGGGCAACCCTTGGCATCGAGCGGGAGGGGCAACAGCCTCCAAAGGCCCCTGCCTCACCACCAAGCCCAGGGCCCTGCAGCTGGCTAAGCCAGGCAGCACGGTGGGCAGCAGCCATGGCAGGTGCAGGGCTGGAGCAGATCCGGGACTGGGGCACACTGAAGAGCTGAGAACGGAAGGGAACCCGGCTGGACCTGCGGTGCCGGAGCAGGTTACCAGCACCGGGCAGCCCTGGCCCCTGTTTATGAGGGCAGGTGGCTGTTTAGCCTGCGGCCATTCCCTTCGGTTTAGGGTTACCCACACAGGGAGCGGGGCCCGCCCTGCCACTCCCCCCCGCCCCCCAGTTCACAGGTAAGTGATGATCCACACAAATGTTCCGTGTTTTTAATTGCACTTTCGTAGCCACTCTGTGCTGTTTGCCATGTCCATCTCGCGGGACGTCGCCGGTCTGAGTGCAAACAGCCCACAGCGCGACAGCTTGAATGGGAATCTGCACATTCCAGGTGCTTTGATCACCCAAAGGTAACACAAATAAGGCTTCTTAGCCAGACGGGGTCCCTTCCAAAGGGAAGAGAGCTGACAGCGATCAAACACCTCGCATCCACATGGATCCTACACGCTGCGCAGACATGCCCAGCCCAGCTGTACGAGGGCCCGTCCATCTCCGGTAGAAGTCACAGCTTCCTTGGAATTACTTATCCCTGAGGCTTTAAAAACAAAAGGGGTTTTCTATTCAAGTTTCATCACATTCCCTTGGGCCTTGCATGGGAAAGGGACATGGACCTGTGGTAGATAAATACTTCACAGAGGGCAGAGTACAGATGGGGGAGACTTCACGGCCTGTACTTGCTTTGCCTACCACTGGTATGCAGCCACCTCTGGGGTGAGACATGGCTGCTGTTAGTGCACAGCTATGCGCCCTTGTGTCACAGCAGCCTGGCCCCTCCCCTGCCAGGGCGAACTCCTCTGAGAGCAGAACTGGCCTGATACAGGGAGAGGCTCTGCGGGGCATGCTGCAGGCTGAACCAGCAGAGGGAAAGGGACACTGCCTTGCCCAGGACCCAATCCTGGGAGGTGCCGAGGTCCCCCCAGGAGCCTTGTAATAGCAGTGGTGCAGCAGGCCACCTCCCACCGCAGACAGGCCCGGCCTGGAGAGCACAGGGCCCGCCCAGATAGGTTCCTTCCCCCTTCCCGCACATGGTCCCAAGCAGCTGCAGGAAGCCCCAGTCATGCCAGAGCCACCAGGCCAGTGCGTCTCGGCCTCTCCCACTTCGGCAGGGGAAGGGAAGGGCAGGTGCCTCCGGCTGCCTTCTGGCTGAGAACCCCTGCGCTGGGGCAGAGCCCAGATAGATCTGGCACCCAGCTTAGCAGCAGCAGCCAAGTGACAGGGAGCCAGCAGTAACACGCCTCATTCTGTAACCGTGGGGAGCCCAGCCCGGTGGTCCCCGTTCGTAATGGAGCACGAGCCATCCAAGTGCCTCCCGGTTGTTTCTGCGCAGCCGGAGCAGGGCTGGGCTGGGCCCTGCCGGCTTTCTAAAAGCCATGCTTGCTTCTTCCCAGCAGGGGGCGCTCCGGCATTGCATACGGGGTGGGCACACTGCACTGGGGGCTCCGGAGCTGCAGCAAGTCTGCAGACAGGTGCCAAAGGGCGACTCAGGCCCGTCCTCTGGGGGCTAAGTGGGCGTGTTCCAGGGCAGGACACGGGGCGTTACACTTCCCAGCCCGGCAGCGGCTGTCACGCCCCCTCTGCTGGCACCGGCCATGCCTGGCAGTCGCTGCGCACTCGGATTGCAGGGAGGCGCCAGCCCAGGCTCCGGGGGTGGGGGGCCGGCGCCCCAGGCTGAACGCTAAGAGAGGCAGTGGCGGCCGTCGAAGCCCGTGCTGGTCCCTGCTCCTGCCCCCCTCCCCGGTCTCCGCCCCCACTCCGGAGGGGGCGGGGTTCCCAGCAGGGCCGTGCGCCCCGGATTGGCACGCGGCTGTGGAGTGCAGCCCCCTCGAGACACTGGCTGGGGAGTCCTGCTCTGAGCAGGGTCCATGGGCTCGCCCTCCCCATGGGGCACAGCTTCTGGGAGCAGTCCGGCCCTGCTGGGCTCTGCCAGTGCTGGGTTCTCCTGCTCCTGCCAGCTGGAGTCCCCGCCCTCAGCGGTCCTGCTGGGGTCTGGGGTCCTTGCCATTCCCGCAGCCCCGGCATCTGCATTCTCAGGCGCCCCCTCCTCTGGGATGGGCTCTGGCTCCGCCCGCTCTCCCCCGGCTGGCTGCGGTCCCTTGGTGGCCGAGGGCTTCACTGGCTGGTGGCACATGGGGCAGGTGTCCTGCACGTACAGCCACTTGCGGAGGCAGCCCGTGTGGAAGAAGTGGCCGCAGTCGGTGATCACGGCCATGTTCATCTCCTGCCCGGCAGAGGAAGGAGGGGTTAGTGGGGAGCCGGCCAGCACAGCCAGGGCTGGGACAGACACCGCTGTCCCGCTGGAACGGGATCATAGAATCATAGAATATCAGGGTTGGAAGGGACCCCTGAAGGTCATCTAGTCCAACCCCCTGCTCGAAGCAGGACCAATTCCCAGTTAAATCATCCCAGCCAGGGCTTTGTCAAGCCTGACCTTAAAAACCTCTAAGGAAGGAGATTCTACCACCTCCCTAGGTAACGCATTCCAGTGTTTCACCACCCTCTTAGTGAAAAAGTTTTTCCTAATATCCAATCTAAACCTCCCCCACTGCAACTTGAGACCATTACTCCTCGTTCTGTCATCTGCTACCATTGAGAACAGTCTAGAGCCATCCTCTTTGGAACCCCCTTTCAGGTAGTTGAAAGCAGCTATCAAATCCCCCCTCATTCTTCTCTTCTGCAGGCTAAACAATCCCAGCTCCCTCAGCCTCTCCTCGTAACTCATGTGTTCTAGACCCCTAATCATTTTTGTTGCCCTTCGCTGGACTCTCTCCAATTTATCCACATCCTTCTTGTAGTGTGGGGCCCAAAACTGGACACAGTACTCTAGATGAGGCCTCACCAATGTTGAATAGAGGGGAACGATCACGTCTCTCGATCTGCTCGCTATGCCCCTACTTATACATCCCAAAATGCCATTGGCCTTCTTGGCAACAAGGGCACACTGCTGACTCATCTCCAGCTTCTCGTCCACTGTCACCCCTAGGTCCTTTTCCGCAGAACTGCTGCCTAGCCATTCGGTCCCTAGTCTGTAGTGGTGCATTGGATTCTTCCATCCTAAGTGCAGGACCCTGCACTTATCCTTATTGAACCTCATCAGGTTTCTTTTGGCCCAATCCTCCAATTTGTCTAGGTCCTTCTGTATCCTATCCCTCCCCTCCAGCGTATCTACCACTCCTCCCAGTTTAGTATCATCCGCAAATTTGCTGAGAGTGTAATCCACACCATCCTCCAGATCATTTATGAAGATATTGAACAAAACCGGCCCCAGGACCGACCCTTGGGGCACTCCACTTGATACCGGCTGCCAACTAGACATGGAGCCATTGATCACTACCCGTTGAGCCCGACAATCTAGCCAGCTTTCTACCCACCTTATAGTGCATTCATCCAGCCCATACTTCCTTAACTTGCTGACAAGAATACTGTGGGAGACCGTGTCAAAAGCTTTGCTAAAGTCAAGAAACAATACATCCACTGCTTTCCCTTCATCCACTGAACCAGTAATCTCATCATAAAAGGCGATTAGATTAATCAGGCATGACCTTCCCTTGGTGAATCCATGCTGGCTGTTCCTGATCACTTTCCTCTCATGCAAGTGCATCAGGATTGATTCTTTGAGGACCTGCTCCATGATCTTTGAGGACCTGCTCCATGATGGGGATGGGGTATGAAGATCCAGTCTCCAGTCACCCAGGACAGAGCCTGGTTCAAGAGGCCATCCCAGGCTCCCTTGTGCCATCAAGGGCAAGGAGGTGTTATGGGGTGCTGCCAACCCTTACACCAGCCTCTCCAGCATGGCTGGCACCCCAAGACGAGGAGCCAGGAAATGCCCCATTACCCAGCACCCCTATGCCTGCCCATTGGCCCTCACATTCAGGGCCCCTAGGAAGTCACCAGGAGACGTGAGCCACCCATCCTGCTGGCCAGCTGCACCGTGAGGCACCTGCCAGCTTGGGCTGTCACCAGAGGCCCCCTCACTGGCATCCTTTGTACGGCACAAGGCATGGTCTCACCACAGATCAGCGAGCTCCTGTTCCAGGCTGTCTGCAGACTCAGGCAGTCAGTGCTGCATTCCTCTCCCTAAGGCCAGGTTTTCTAGGGTTCCCTTCTCAACGGTAAGGGCTCGAATCCTCGTCAGTGTGCAACTCTACTGCACGCCCATGGAGCCTGGAACACGTGGGCCTGGATTCCAGGGCAGGTGCACACACGGCCTGGGGCAGTTACAGGGCCCACGTGGCATAACCAGACTCAGCAGAATCTCATCAAAGAATAAAAGTTTCTCATGCTCATGGTCTTGGAGCACACTTGCCAAACGGGCCCGAGTGTAACGGGAGCTGCAGCGTCCGCCTGTGAGTCTGCAGGCAGCCTGAACCCAGGAAACTCCCCTGCCCCCATGCTGAATGGACGCAAGAACTGAGCAACTAACTGCCCAAGGTTTAGCCCAGCGGTTCTCACCTTCTGGGTCGCAGCCCGTGTGGGGTGGGGTCAGGCCAGCTGCGGGCAGGGTTAGAGCAATCACTAGGAGGTGGAGGATGGCATTTTACAAACTGAAAAGGAGGACTTGTGGCACCTTAGAGACTAACCAATTTATTTGAGCATGAGCTTTCGTGAGCTACAGCTCACTTCATCGGACTGGCGTCCTCCACACATTGTGACCTCGCACCGACGGTGCACGCCAGGTCACGCCGGTGTTCTCTGCCAGGCTGCCTGGGGCCGCAGGGAGCAAGACGTCCGACAAGGGGGCCATGCAGGCGACAAGTCTGGGGTCCGCTGGGTCAGTCACTGCCCTTGATCTCGGTGCAAACCCCCCAGGGACACCCCCCCCGACCCTCGCAGCCTGTTCGAAGTGGATGCAACCCTCCCCCTGATCTAGGGCACGTGGAGGCCAACTGAGGAGCTCCTTGAACCCCCAGGAAGCCACCGTCTTACGCAGAGCCGGTTGGGCTGGGGAAGGGGGCCCCCTGGAAATACGCAGTGCACTCAAGGGGAGAGGGGTTTCTGATCTGCGCAAGAGAACTCGTCCCGTCCCCCACACAGGCTCATCGAAGAGCAGGGGCAGGTTCCCGAGCAGTGCCCTACGCCGCAGGGCAGTGGAGACGGTGCAGGAGGAGGGCGCTGGAGACCCCCTCTGCACCGGAGTTGGAGTCACCGTCCCCGCTGGTGAGTGCTGACACCACATTGCCCCCCGGGGGGAGGAGGGCGCGGCTGGCTCACCTGGAAGCAGATGGCACACACGTCGTTGTGGTCCCGCAGCTGTCCCCTGGTGGCCCTGGGCAGCGAGTTGATCTTCTTGGCGGCCTCCCTGCGGAGCAGGAAGCTCTTCCAGCCTGACTGGGCCCGCAGCCACACGTTGAAGTAGGAGTGGATGATGATGACAGAGGCGCCCATCCAGCTCCACTCGCCAAAGATGGACTCCCAGGTGCCATAGGCCACCACGCAGACGGCCACCAGGAACTCCAGCACCCGGCTCACCGCATTGACGTAGTAGATGATCTCGTCCGTCTTCTCCAGGGGCGCATCCTGGAACAGCTCAATCATGAAGAGCGCGTAGACGAAGAGGGTGCCCATCACCTGGTGCAAAGGGTCAGAGAGTGGGGACGATGCTCTGCTGCCAACAGCCACCGGGCCAATTAGCCCCACACCCCTCGCAGGGGGCAGATGCTGGAAAGTCAGGTGACTTTGGTTACCACGACTGTCACGTGTCCCTTGGCAAGGTCCCCCCCAGGGTGGGAGGGAAGGAAACGAAGGGGTTGCGAGCGAGGTGTCACTGCAGGTCGGGACTGGCCCAGGGACAGGGGATGCTGAGTGGCCAGGTTTCAGGGGCAAAGGGTTCCCAGCGAGGGCACAGGGCTCCGTGCTGTGGCCACTCTTTACCAGTCAGTAACGCTCTGCAAAGAGGCCAGCAGGCAAGTCATAGCGTTTGCAGAGGGCACAAAATGTAGGTTGGCCAGGAGTGGAAGCGGCTGTGAGGAAGTTCAGAGGGACCCAAGCCAGCCAGGGCAGCACCACGGCAGCTGGGATTTGAGGGGGCAGGTGCTCATTAGCAGGAGGGACAGATGCTGTAGGGAACAGACTCCAGCTGTACCTGCAAGGAGGGGAGCCCACAGCTGGGGACCTGGATCGGTAGAAGAGGGATCCGGCTGTACCTGCAGGGAGGGGCACATGCAGCTAGGGACCTGGATCAGGGGGAAGAGGGACCCGGCTGTACCAGTAGGGAGGGCAGCACACAGCTGGGGACCCAGATTGGGGGAAAGGGGACTCAGACATACCCATAGGGAGGGAAGCATGTGGCTGGGGACCTGAACTGGGGGGAGAGGGTCATGGCCATAGCCCCAGGGAGAGAGGCACGTGGCAGAGGACCTGAACTGAGGAAAGGGGGACCCGGCTGTCCTGGCAGGGAGGGGAGCACATGGCTAGGGACCCGGACTCGGGGGAGAGGGTGTGACGAAGCAGGGTGTGATCAGAGAAGGGTAACAAGAAGCTGGGGGATTGCAAATGGGGAGGTGAGCATGTACCTGGAGACCCTGATGGGGGGAAGGGGACCCGGCCGTACCTGCAGGGAGGTGAGCATGTACCTGGAGACCCTGATCGGGGGCAGAGGGGCCCAGCCGTACCTGCAGGGAGGTGAGCAAGCAGCTGGAGACCCTGATGTGGGGAAGGGGATCTGGCCATACCTGCAGGGAGGTGAGCATGCAGCTGGAGACCAGGATCAGCAGCCAGAAGTCCATGTGGAAGAAGCGAGCGATCTTGTACGCCATGAAGCAGGGGAAAACCAGCAGGAAGAGGCACAAGCTGAGGCTGCGGAAGTGCTTCCAAGGGCTCCTGGGAAGAGGAACAAGTCAGAGGCCTGGCCAGTCCACAGCTCAGCCTGCAGGGCTCCAGCGCTTCCCCAGTGCCCGCTGTGGCGCCCCAAGAATCCCTCCCACCACGGAGGAGAGGGCTGCGGAGCCTGCCGGACCGGCTGGGAGTGAGGGAGACGCACAACACTCTGCCCGTCCCAGCTTGGGCAGGTGGAGCTAAGGGAGACCTGTGGGCCCAGCCAGTTCTGCCCTCACTGCTCTGCATCCCATACAGCTCCTCGTGGCCGCTGGGGACTCTCCCTTGAGCCGTGGCACCGTCTCCCAGCCAGGGGTCTCAGCGGCTCCGCGAGGGCCGAAGGGGAAGGCAGCGGCATCACTGCGCTCAGCAGTAGCCTGTCCGAGGGCCTGATCCAGAACCCAGTGACGTCAATGGGACCCTTTCTGGAGTGGGCCCTGAGAGAAGAGGGTGCTGCATCAAGCCCCAGGCAGTCCCGAGGGGCGGCCAGGATTGTGCCTGGTCTGGGGAGATCCCCATGCAATGAGCCCCAGCCATGGGGAGGGCTGGGACTCTGGCTAGGTGGAAGCTGGGCCGGATCCTGCTGCCCCCATTGGGAGGCTGGGGGATCGGGTGCTACCTGTTCTGCGAAGCCCCCAGCGCCAGCACGATGGGGTTGGCTATCTCGATCATGGACTGCAGGGTCGACGTCACCACGATGAAGAGGATGATGCTGAGGAGGAAGGTTCTCTGCAGGATCTGCAGGTCCAGCAGCCCCGTCTGGAGAGCCAGCAGCAGCAGCGTCACGCCCTCCGTCACACCTCTGCCAGGCGAGCAGGAGAAGAAGGCATGGGGCTTCAACCAAGAACTGCGCGCCCGCCGGAGGCATGCGATCACCACCGCTGCGTGTGCAAAGCCAGGACCTGCTAGTGCAGACGGCCAGGAGCATCACCGGCTATTTGAGCAGGCGGCCACGGTGACCACGCGTGCAGTGGCCAGCGCATGAACGCACACGCAGGGCTGCATGCCGGGACTCAGACCCTGCCCAAATCAGTGACAGCCAAGCTGCCGTTCGCACAGTGCTGTCACCAGGCAATGCCCTCGACTCGGGGGAGCGGTGCTCACAGCCCAGATCGCCAGGGAAGGCAGTCCAAACTCCCAGCACCCAGCCAGTCACCTGGGGCAGGGCAATCTGCCTAAAACAACATTTAGGGTGAGAAACTCCTACTTGTAACCCGTTTCTGTAGTATTTTAAACTTATATTTCATCTTTGTTTTATTTGCTGGGTAATCTGCTTTGATCTGTTTGCTAGCCCTTATAATCACTTAAAACCTATCCTTTGTAGTTAGTAAATTTGCTCTTGTTTTCTCTAAAACCAGTTTGTGAAATCCACAACAGGGTGGGAGGGGCAAAAAGCTGTGCGTAACTTCCTCCACACTGTGGGAGGGAGCGAATTTCCTGAGCTTACGCTGTACAGTTTTCTGTGCAGCGCAAGACAATACAATTTTGGGTTTGCACCCCAGAGGGAGTGTGCACTTGAGTGCTGGGCGATCCCCTAGCTGATTCTTCCCGTGCAGAGCTGATTTCAGTGTCTGTGTCTTTCTGCAGCTGGGCGTGTCCCTACCTGCGTGTGTGCTGGAGGAGGCTTGAGGGCCTGGCACAGCAGGACAGGGTAAGGAAGCCCGGGCTGGTGGAACGGGTGGGCTCAGTGCGACCCCAGTACATCAGGTGGCACCCCGGAGTGGGGGTTACCCATCACACACGGATCCTGTGCATCAGTCACACCCCCCTCTCCGTACAGCTGCCCAGCACTTTGCCTCAGGCCGATAATAAGCTGCCCAGGCTGTGGGACGTGTTTTCTCTCTGCCGTGCAGCACTACGGGGGTCACAATTAACCATGCAGGTGCCCAGCCCCAGGGGAGTGTGACTATGGGCAGGAGAGAGTCAGATCCAGCTCATGGATCACAGAGACAAGAAGGGAGAGCGGAGAGAGGAAGACGGCGTCCTGCCAGGCAGCCGCCAGGGGCATGTGTGTCCTGCGATCAGAGCAGTGATGCAGCATGCGTAGACGGACCTGAGCTAGCCTGCATCTTGCGCTCTCCAGTACCAGCATCCGGGAAGCCACGACAGCATGGGCTGGAGAAGCCCGCCTGGGGTACGTGTTTGAGCAGCCTGCCCACGCTGCCGCTGCTCGTTACTGGAGCGAGCTCGATCCAAGCCAGCTGGGGTACGTCTAGCCGTGGTGCCATCACACCTCCGGCGGCAGTGCAGACATGCCCAGCGCAGTCACTCGCAGAGCCGCCAGACCAGAAGCCGAGCCTGCGGCTTCCTCAGCCCCAGCACGGCAGCGATGCCCTTGCCCCGGCGGTCCCTCACCTGTGCATGACGTTGCCATTCTGGAAGGCGTCGTAGCCCAGCAGATAGAACTTGCAAAGGTTGAGCACGGCCAGGGCGAGGTAGGAGACAGTGAAGGTCAGGCCGAGGAGGGAGTAGGGCGTGCCGCAGCACTCGGCCACGCTGCCAACAGAGCACACGGCAGGGTGAGACGCTCCTTTGGGAGGCCCCGGGTCCATCCCCTTAACCCATGTGGACAGATCCCAGGGAATGGGCTAGGAGAGCAGGCAGGTATGGCACCGCAGCAGTAACACCAGGGGGCAGTAAGGAGCCGGACCTGAATTGCTGAGGTCCAAGCAGGCCCTGTATGCGACGTCCCTTATCTCAAACCCTGGCAACAGATGAGTTGCAGCCCAGAATGGCCTAGATCCCCCCCACCCCACCCCCACAGGCAGCCTGACCCCACTGCTCCCTGGATCAGCCCCGGCGGCCTTCCAGGTCTTTCCACCCCCTGCCCCAGCGCGGGTCGCCCCCTCCTACCTGCTGAGGAAGATGAAGAGCAGCCCCTGCTGGGCGAGGAGGCTGTTGGAAGAGGCCAGGAAAGAGTAGATCTGGAGGGTGAAGAGCACCAGCCAGAAGACAAGGAAGAGCACCGGGATGGCCAGCTGGCTCCAGAGGGACATGGCCAGCGCCACCAGCCTGTACATCTCCAGTCCCTGGGGAGGAGGCGCCAGTTAGCCAGTGCTGTCACACAGCCTGGGCCGGGGGGCTGCGGTGGGGATCTACTGTGGAGGAGTGTCTGTGAGGGCTGAACGTTTCCCAGCTCTGTGTGCTGGACAGAGAGCCCCAGTCCAGCTGAGGGAGGGGTGTGTCTGATCACGCACATCGCCAGCCGGTGCCTCCATCCCCGCTCTGGTAAGAGTGATGGAGTCAGAGCGTCCAGACACGGGACTGCAGGGACCGCCGGACTGGGGAGTCAGACTTCTGTACCAGCTCAGCGGGCAGGTTTACAGGGCACCTGGGGGCAGTGTTTGAAGTGTCTCTAGCTCTGGGCTCACAGCCCTGGAGACAGAACCTCGGCTGCTCCCGGAGAGTGCCCTGCCCTCACACCAGCGAGCCACATCCCTGCTCCCCAGCGGCCAGAGGGGAGTCCAGAGCTCCTGACCCCGCCCTGGGGACTGTCCGGAAGGAAGTCAAAGGGGCCCAGTTCCGATGGTGGTTTGCATGAAGGGTCTCAGACTACAATGGACTCCGATTCATCAGCCTGTCTCACACACAGCACCTCACCGCCACCCTGGGCTCGACAGGAACTAGGCCTCTGAGCTGGAGGGTCCCATTGCCCAGCCCCCTGAGCTAGCCAGCTGCCCTGCCCTGGGGTCAGATGGGAGCCAGCGCCCCCTAGAGGGGAAAAGGCCCTGTATCTCCTGCCCTCACTCCAGCCAGTCCTCCCACCCTGGACACCCCCTCAAGTGGCAAGGCCCCATGTCTCATTCCTATGGCTATGATTTTGTCACGGACATTTTTAGTAAAAGTCAGGGACAGGTCACAGCTTCCGTGTTTTTTTCTTTATTGCCCGTGACCCGTCCCTGAATTTTACTAAAACATCCCTTGCAGAATGTCTAGGGAGGAGGGTCCAGCTGGAAGCTGCAGGGACCCCATTGCCCAGTGGCTGGAAGTGGTCCCCCTGCGGGGCTGGCAGCTGCAGGGGACCCCCTGCAAGCACTGAGCAGGTCCAGGGCTCCTCTGCCAAAGCAGGCTGGGAGCTGCAGTGGCAGGAGGGGGCTGCTCATGGTGGCTGAACAGCTGCGGGGGCCCCTGAGCAGCTCTGGGGTCCGTCTGCTGCTGCCAGCGGCTGGGAGCTGCGTGGTGGGAGGAGGTTATGGGTGGGCCACTGCAAAGGGGACCCCTGCCAGCAGCGGTGGCTGGGCAGCTCAGGGATCACCGCCGATGGCAGCATCCAGTCAGTTGCGGGGGGTCCCGCCACCCACAGCGGTGGGAGATCCCCTGCCGCCTGCAGAGGCTGGGCTGCTGCAGGGTCCCCCTCTGCTGGCAGAGGCTGGTCAGCTGCGGGGCCCCCAGTGTCACGGAGGTCGCTGGAAGTCACGGGTTCCATGACTTCATCTTAGCCTTACTCATTCCCCCACCCTCCCCAAGTCTCCCACCCTAGAGGGGCAAGGCCCCGTGTCTCATTTCCTGCCCCGCTGAGCCAGCCAGTCCCCTGCCCTGCAATTGGATTGGAACCAGTGCCCCCTACGGGGCAAGGCCCCATGTCCCATTCCCACCCCCCTGACCTGGCCAGACCCCTGGACCAGTCTGGTTTCACTGTGAAGCGCCCCGAGCTACCTGCCTGAGGGCACTGCCGGACCCATTCATCTCCCCCCACCCACCCTCTCCCTGCATGCCAGCCGCTCACCTGAGCCATCTCCCTGCACACCGCAGCAGCCAGATGGAAGGGAGCCAGCAGGTGGGAGGCGGCCACGTACAGCACCTCCACCACAGTGACGGAGGTGGCAAAGGCGTTGACCACAGGAAGCGCCTGGAGGGGGAGGCCACAGAGCCGGGCCAGCAGCGGGAGCAGTGGGGCACAGAACAGCCACACCTGCTTGGTCTTCATGAGGAGGGCACAGAGTGTGCTCACAAAGATCTGGCCTGGCGGGAAGGCGAGAGCAGGCCCGTTAGTGCAGCTGGAGCGCGCGGTGGCTCACAGCCGGCCCCTGCCCACATCCCCCCTCGCTTCCCTGCACAACCAGCGTTCCCAGCTAGCATGATGGCTGCAGCCCAAAGCCTAGGCAGCATGGCCTAGTGCTTAGAACGCAGGGTGGGGAGTCACAACTCCTGGGTGCTGTTCCCAGACCTGCCACGGTCTCCTTGTTGGGTGTGGGTGAGACACTGCCTCACCTGGAACAGGCCGTTAATGCTGCCCCCGCCACCAGGGGCCAGTGGGAAGTTTGCTATTCAGTGATCGTGGATGGTGCTTTGAGATCCTCAGATGAGAGGTGCTGGGTGAAGGGAGACACACCAGCTCTCCCAGACACTGCTGCAAGCAGGCCTGGGCTCACCCTCCTCCCCAAGGCCCCCAGACAGCTGCACAGAGGCTGTATGGGAGGGGCTCGACGTGCACCCTGCCTGCAGGAAAGAGTTCCCCACCCAGGTTACAAATGGCCACCGGAGGGCGCTGTCCCCCTGGGTAGCCCTAAGCTGTGTCGTTTGAGGTCAGTTGGGTAGTTGTCGGTCTGCCCTACACATCGCCTCGCCCCAGTTTACTGGGGCACAAACCCCTGTGCAGAGACATCCCTTTTGGGGGAGCTTCCACCTGCCACTCACTGACACACTCCGCTGGGAGAAGCCGGATTGAAAGCAGAGCCAGGGCTGCAGCGTGTAACTGAGGGTGTAACGCCCAAATGGCCACCTAACCCATCCAGCCCTTAGTCCAAACCCAGTCCCCGTTCGAAGCCCAAAGGGGGGTGTGAATTCACACGCCCCAGGGCAAGCAGAGATGCGGTCAGGATTTGGATTCAAACTCACTCGAGGTGTTTCTAACGCCCCCTCAGCATGGTGCCGGTCGCTCAGAGATGCTGCTCAGCCAGCAGTTAGGCTGGACTCCCCCCGTGCTCCCCACTATGCTGCGTGAGCGGGTGTGCCGTGGTCACACTGAGAGGCCATTAAAGGGCCACCCCGACCCTTACCAGGTGCCAGCCGTTAGCTAGAGAGTCTGTGGGTCTCTCGGCTCCGCTCCTTGGGAAGTGCTCCCTGAACAGGTGCTGGGGGCGCCCTGCATGCTCTGCGGCCGTTCCAGTTTTTGATGGGAGGGATCCCATAGGAAAACCCTGACCCTGGGACACGCCCCTCCCTCGGGCTGCGGGGCTTCCATCTGATCCCCATGCCAAAGGGGAAAATGGGGTGGCCCCACAGAGAAAGGCGTCTCAGGAAAGGGCGGCCACAGGGGCTTGCAGCCTCACCTGTCAGGGCGGTCAGGAAGCGGCTGAGCACCACAGGGTCCTGGTACACAGCCCCCTGGAACTCATACTCCATCTCATGGCGCATGTAGTCCCTGGAAGGAGAGGGGTGGGGTCTTAGCAGCAGGTGCCTGTTCCTCTCCTGTCAGCCCCACAGTGCCCCAGACTCACTCTAGTTAGCCAGAGCCCCAGGTATGCACCTGCGATCTTCTACGAGTCCCCGTGCCAGCGAAACCCAACCCACCTTCCTTTCCTGGCTCCTGACCACACCGTAGGGGCAAGCGCTACCCCAGGGCCAGGAGTCGGAGCCGCCCCTGCAGCCAGGAGCCGTGAAGTCACAGCCCGAGAGCACGTGTCTCCAGTCCCAGCTTCCCCCAGATCCAGCTCTCCCTCGGGGCTCTCCTCCCAGGGTACCAAGCTCTGCTGCGGGGTGCACCGCTAGCTCCCACACCCTGCAAGAGCCATGTACGCTGCCTGCCCCTGCCAGGGCCGTGGTGAGTGCACAGAGCCCCCGGGGCAAGGCAGGTGGCTTGCAGCCAGGTCGCCGGGCTCACCTGGCCGTCTGGTGCCCCACGAACAGCAGCAGCAGTGTCAGGCCATAGAGGTAAAGTTTCACCAGGGATCTGACTGGGAGCAGCAGCACCCCGACACACAGCATATGGCCTGGGAAAGGGAGAGAACAGGTCAGCCAGCCGTGCCTGCGGTCTCCCATCACTGCGCTGCCCACCCACCCCCGAGGGCACAGCCAGAAACAGCACCCAGCGCCCAGAGCTAGCCCCGCAGGAGCGCCGGTCTCTCTTCTTCAAGCCTTTTCTTGGGGTCTCTCTGCCCCATCCCCCATCCTCTTACCTGAGCCAGGAAAACAGAAACCAGTTCAAACTCAGCCACATGTGTTACTATGCTGCACTTTCCCAAACAACTCCATCTACAAGCTACACACAGGGGGGGCTTCGCCCACCACTGAAATGCAGCCACCTCTGGAGCAGGGCGCGGCAGATGTTGAACAGCGATACTGAACAATGGGAAGTGGCTATCACATGTTGCAGGGGCTGCATGAGGGCAGAACAAGCTACTGACTCCAAGGAGAGGGACCCACCCACTGAATCCCTAATGCCAGCCGGGGTTTGCTTGCAATTATCCCACCCAAGACCTAACCAGCTGTTAGAATATAGATATTCAGGCCAGCTTGTAAAGGCCTACACATTAAGAACTTAGTGTATTTTTATCACTTAGCTAGTTATAGAGGTATAAAACAAAGCCCTGGCCGGGATGATTTAGTTGGGGATTGGTCTTGCTTTGAGCAGGGGGTTGGACTAGATGACCTCCTGAGGTCCCTTCCAACCCTGATCTTCTATGATTCTATGAAAATCACAGTCTGCCTGTGTATGGGTCTTCTCTCCCTCAGATAGTCTGAGGCCTTGTTCTTAGGCTAAGGCCTCTGGCTAAGCAGCAGGGGCAGCCATAAGCTGGGAAGGGAACGGTCACATCCTCACATCAAGAAAAGGAGTACTTGTGGCACCTTAGAGACTAATCAATTTATTTGAGCATGAGCTTTTGTGAGCTACAGCTCACTTCATCGGATGCAACCGATGAAGTGAGCTGTAGCTCACGAAAGCTTATGCTCAAATAAATTGGTTAGTCTCTAAGGTGCCACGAGTACGCCTTTTCTTTCTGCGAATACAGACTAACACGGCTGTTACTCTGAAATCCTCACATCACAAGCCAGTCACATTGAAATAAGGTGGTACTTGGCTCTTAGAAATACAATCCTGTCCTGATAATGCCCATCACCACCAGATAAAGACGGTTAAAGAAAACTTAGTTTGATAGCACCCTGTCTGGTGAGAAATCACTTATCAATAGTTGTGGTTGTGAAACCCTCATTTCTGTATGTTTTATCTTTATGGCCCCCACTTTTCTATTGTTAATCTGTCTGGTTCTCTGTTTCTTTTGTCTGCTGTATAATTAATTTTGCTAGGTGCAAGTTAATTAGGGTAGTGGGATATAACTGGTTAGAGAATTACGTTACAATCTGTTAGGATTGGTTAGATAGATTTCAGTAAAATGACGGGTTAAGGTATAGCTGGGAATATTACTCTATAAACTGGGGTTGAACAGGAAGTGGAAAGGAAATTGGAATCATGTTTGCTAAGGGGGTGGGAAATGGGACAGGGACACAGGCAGACTCTGTGGCGTCAGAGCTGGGAAAGGGGTGCGACGTTATTAATATGATCTGGGACCGCATAGATGAGGGGTGGCCAACCTGAGCCTGAGAAGGAGCCAGAATTTATCAAGGTACATTGCCAAAGAGCCACAGTAATACATCAGCAGCCCCCGGTCAGCTCCCCCACTCCGCTCCCAGCGCCTCCCACCCACCGACAGCCCTGCCAATCAGTGCCTCCCCCTCCCTACCCACACTTCCCAATCAGCTGTTTCCTGGCGTGCAGGAGGCTGGGGGGGAGGGAGGAGCGAGGGCACGGCAGGCCCAGGGGAGGGGGCGGTAGGGGTGGTGTGGGGGCAGGGCCTGTGGCAGGGCCAGGGGTTGAGCAGTGAGCAACCCCCCCCCACACCCCGCACATTGGAAAGTCGGTGCCTGTACAAGGAGCCGCATATTAACTTCTGAAGAGCCGCATGTGGCTCAGGAGCGACAGGTTGGCCACCCCGTCATAGGTCAATGTTGCCACCACGGTTATGTATTTGCAGCAAGTATTGTACAAAGGTTGTCATGGGAAGAGGTTGTGATTTGCTGGTTATAATTATGCTAGCTGTATGTGGGTATCATCTGTGTATTTGAAGTTATGAATATGGGCTATGTACTTGTATCTCAAATGTATTTGATTCCAAGTAGCCTCAGTGAAGCATTTGGTCAGCTTCTTGAGAAAGGACTTTTCTCAGTAAGTGCCCAATAAAGAAACACTTAACTGACAATGAACTTTGGGAGATGCCAATCCACATCTGAGCTTTCCTGGGAACGTTCAAACTAACATGTAAACAATGGCGTTGGCGTGTAACAAACTGAGTCATGTGTGGACATGTGACTTGCCCATGTGACTCCAAACTCCATCTTGCTGCTGAGATCTTCCACAGGGCAGAGAATATAAAAGGCCCTGAAAACCCTTCAGCGTGGTAGGTGACCTGCAGCCAACCAACAGCTCGGGGTTATTTTTTCCAGAGCGTCACAAGTTGCCTGGAGCTTTACAGACAATTCTAGCCTGGTCGATAGTTTTAAACTATTTCGGATAAAAAAATCACACACACACCTCCCCACTCCCAATGAAACAGTAATACTAGGATAATGGTGCCTTTGACTGGTACAGCTTATACCCCGCCTATGTGGACCAAGTCACCCGGGTATCTGCATTTTTATACTGGTACTGCTGAGACCACGTATTTGGGGGGAACCCTGGGGACACAGGCACAGTTTAAGCAGCACCTGCATTTAGACAAGCCCCTCACAAGACACTGTCTCTGCCCAAGGAGCTGGCAATCTAACAGACAGGCAGAAAAGAGCAAGATGAAGAAGCAAGAGGGAAAGCGAAGAGCTGGACGATTTCACATAAACACTCCCCACTGGGACAGGGCAGCAGCACGGACCCAGCATGGTCCAGAGGTGTCGGACTTTGAGGGCTGTGTGCCTACAAAGGAAGCACTTTTAGGATTTCCAATCTATTCCCTACAATTCTAGCATCCTCCATGACTTGTAGAGTCATTTATGCTACTAACGTGGTACTTTACAGGCAGGGCCAGATCAAGTCTCCTGTGGGCCTGGGGCTATTAGATTTTGTGGGGCCCCTGTATACAAGTCTTTTTCCTGGGAGGGAGTTTGATGCAGGAGGGGGATGGGGTGGGGGATTGGGGTGCAGGAGAGGGTGTGGAGTCTGGGAGCCAGTTTGGGTGCAGGAGGGGATTCTGACCTGGGGCAGGGGGTTGGGGTGCAGGAGGGGGTACGGGGTCTGGGAGGGAGTTTGGGTACAGGAGGGGAAACTGGCCAATGGGAGGTGTGGGGGCAGCATGCAAAGACTCCTTCCCTGACCCCATGAGGGGCTGCAGAGATGGGCCAGCAGCCAGCCGCTTCCAGGAGCGGTGTGGGGCCACGGCATGCAGGCAGAACTGCCTGAGTGCCTCTTTTAGTGGCCCGGAGATCACTGCCTGTGATTTATTTTTGCGAGGCCCTCTTGAGCTGGGGCCCTGGGCTGCAGCCCCTAAAGCCCCTGTCTTAATCCAGCCCTGTTTACAGGTGGAGAAATTAAAAAAATAGTCCCAAATAATTTTGCATTTTCAACTCGTTAAAACATTTCTAAAAAGTTTTTCTATAGGCCATGTAGCACCAGAGTCTGGGATGCCACGGGGTGGATTAGAGATTTTTCTGTATGGAATGTGGCAGGCACCATGTCTGGATGGCACTGGGTTGCATAAAGATTTATTTGCACTTGTTCAAATTACGTCATTCTGCCACCCATGAGCACGCCCACTGCAAACTGTCCCACGCTGCTGGGTGGCTTACACACATGGGCCACCTGACTGGCACAGCCAGACAGTGCAGCCCACTGCAAACATGCATGTACACCCGCTGCAGCAGCCTGCACCCTCCACCCCGCTTCCCGGATACATCCTCCCCCGGGAGGAAGCAAAATCCACAGTCCCTCCATGCCAGCAGGTGAGGGCAGGTGCAGACGTTGGGAGTCAGACAGGGGCCCGTAGGTCCATGCCACAAAGCCCCGCTCCCTGTCTACGTGGGTGCTGGTTCCCTCAGGTGCAGCAGACGAATCCGCCACTGCATGGAATCATAGGCCATTCCCCGTCTCCAACAGAGCATGGGGCATGACAGCCGGGGATACCAAGGCCGGCACAGCTGCTACGAAGCAGATCCACTGCTACACCGCAACTGAGGCAGGGGGTGGGGGTCCCCCGCCTGGAGAGTCTTAAGGCCAGTTCAGCTTCTGCGGTTGGGTGCTGGGAATGGAACCGGCATGGACAATGAAGGAAAAACCTTTGGTACTGGATCCATCTAGACTCTCTGTACCCCACCCATCCCCACGGAGTCTGGGTGCCCACTTCCAGGCCCCAGTGAACCCTGCGGCTGACTCATGTTACTCAGGAGAGCTCCCTCCTCTGCAACGGGTGCCTCCTCCCCTGCGGGGCTGCATCAGAGGCAAGAACGAATCTCGTGATACAACAGGGCACGGGACGCAGCCACGTAGCAAACGAGCTGCCTGGAGAGAGAGATGCCACGGGACCAAGAGGCAGGGCAGACTAGCTGCTGAATCTCCCGCACCAAGAAGAGTTTGAGCTACCCCCTTCCTCGCCTCCGCATGGACATCACGACGCTGCCCCAAGACCTTCTCTCCTGGCCTCCGACTGAACGTGCTCTGCCAGAGCCACTAGCAGACGAGCACAGCAGGGCTAAGGCAGAAGGACCACAGCCAGTCTCTAGCCCTCTCTCTCCTCGGCCCAGCAGATCTCGGTGGTAATGGAGAAACTGGCCCCGCTTGCCCTAACAGATGTGCTGGCGTTGGGCGGGGGTCAGCTGGGGCCTCTCTCCAAGCAGCTGCACCAGTGTGGGTCATCCGGCAGGCCAGGAGGGAGCAGCTGCCTCTCCCCTGTAGGCCCTCGGGGCTCTGGCCAGCCTGGGCCTCAGGTCTCGCACCAGAGTCCCCGCCCTGCAACCGTAACTCACAGAGCAAGGCCCAAAGACATTGGAGGGCTGGATCAGTTTCCTAACACTGTGCCTTGGCAACCGGCCTGTCTGCGGCAGGGTGAGTTGTTCTGTACCTGGTCTTACAAAGCCAGGCCTGGAATAGCGCATTCAGGTGTGGGCACCTCAGCGTGTGATTCCCTTACCCGCTCTGGGCCTCACTTCCTCTCTCCGGCAGCCTTGGACTCAAAGCCTTTCTCTACGCAGGAGCCACCACTGTGCTAGAACGGGAAACCCTGCATGTTCTAGTAAAAATGGCACCGTGGGACTCTGTATTCATTGCCTCTCAGGGACGCCTGAGCCAACAGGCTTGGATTGCAAGTGAACGGGTTTGAATGAAACCTGCCAGTCCTGCAAACTGCCCTGGGACCCGACCATCAAGCCAGGTCCTCCCTCCTCACACAGCAACAAGAAAGCGTCTGCATTTAGAACGTGGGTAATGATTCTCTGGATGATGCACGAATCAAACCCATAAGAACGGCCAGACTGGGTCAGACCAATGGTCCAGCTAGCCCAGTGTCCTGGCTTCCCACAGTGGCCAATGCCAGGGAATTGCCTTCAGAGAGAATGACTAGAACAGAGCAATTATCGAGTGATCCATCTTCTGGCAGTCAGAGGCTAGGGACACCCAGAGCATGGGGTTGCAGCCCTGGCTAACAGCCATTGATGGACCTATCCTCCAGGAACTTACCTAGTTCTTTTCTGAACCCAAACCCAGCTCCCTCACCCAAGGCAGCATCCACCCTCCAGAGCTCACGAGCCAACAGAACAGCTCCTGCTGGCCCTGGAAGGAGCCAAATGGAGCTAGTTACATGCCGGGCGCAGACCTGAGGAGGAAAGGGCTATTCTGCCTATTCTGTTTGCAGTGGAACTGTGCTCCCAGCTAACTCTCCTGGGAAAACCTGCAAACCAAAGAACTTTATCATGCTGTCAAACTGCCAGAGACTGGAGCATCGAGGACGTGGAGGCCCCCGGGCTTGCCAGTCACATCAAAGCTTGTGAGAGGTGTTGCCTAGACAGGTACCTGGGGGCAGGAGAAGCCGGGTTGACCCCTTGGGTGCCTTTCTGTCCGGGCCTATAGTTAGCTACTGTCATTGGGCAGCGAATGAAGCAGGGTCCCGCTGCGCTAGGATCGATCCACCACTCCTGCAGCCGATCCCCCGGCAATGTGACAGGCAAGAGCTCCACCCAAAATATGACCCATTCAGCGCGCTCTCACAAGCTGGCCTGCCATGCACATAGTCTGACTTCTGTATTTGGGGGATAGGGGACACCACGGGGTGGCTAATGCGTAGGAGCCCCTGGCTGGGGAGCGGGGGGGGGGTGCCTTGGAAGCCACAGCTGGAAACCACGCAGCCTCCAGCGCTTGGGGACCCCCACTCCCGCATGTGGGTTTCCTGCTGACTCAGAGCCAACCCCACTCAGTCACATGGTGCCGCTGGGCCCCCTCCATGAGTGGCAGCTGGCAGAGCCCTGACCTCGGGGGCCAGGCAATCTGTGCCCCACGGGGAGTGGCAGGAACAACAGCTGGGCGCTGCAGGCAGGGGGCGCTGCTTTCTGGGGGAGCACACTGAGGGCAAGGGAGAGCTGTGCCCGGGGATGGGGGGGTCTGACTGACTTGAGCTGTTGGGGGGGGGTGGCTGAACCTTTAAACTGTGCCCCCCACTATCCACACCCACAGCTCAGGGGAGGGGGGCAGCACCCACCACGGTCACCCAGGACCCTGCGCCCCCATCCAGACAGCGCCCCGCTCCTCCAGCGCCTTCCCCGGCTCCCACACCTACACCGTGGGGAGCGGTGGCGCATGGAGACCGCCGGCCCACGCACGCAGCGCGCCATCAGGATTGGCGCAAAGGAGCAGTGCATGCTGGGACTCGGTCTGCACCTCCCACGATCCAGAGGGAACGCGAGGGTGGGCGGCCCCGACTCCTCCAGGGGCCTCGCCGTCCCCGCCCGGGCGCTCCCGGGGAGGGCGCAGAACTCGCTGCCCGGAGCAGGGCCGCTCCCCCCTCGCCCCCCAGCCTCACCCAGGTAGTAGGCGTGCCAGAGGGCGCGGCGGCGCCAGGGGGCCTCCTCCTGCTGGGGCCGGAGCAGCTCGGCAAAGGCCTGGACGTCCCAGCGGTAGAGCAGGTCCAGCAGGACGACGCTGGGCACCCGCAGCGCCACGTTGGCCACCTCCTCCAGCCGAGGCATGCCGGCCCGGGGGGGCCGAGGGGGGCCGCCTCTCCCTAGGGTGCAGGCAGGCGTCCCGGGGTCTCCCTCCCCTGGGGGTGCGGGGCTCAACCGGGGGGTCTCCCTCCCCTAGATGTGGTCCCAGGGATGGGGGGGTCTCGCTCTCTGGGGGGCAGGGCTCAACAGGGGGGCTGTCCTGTGGGAGGGGGGGCGCTCAGCGGTGGGGAAGGGCCCTGTCCCGCGGGGGGAGGGGGGAGCGCTCAGCGGGGGGGGGCCTGTCCCGCGGGGGTGGGGGGGGGCGCTCAGCGGGGAGGGAAGGGCCCTGTCCCGCGGGGGGGGGGGGCGCTCAGCGGGGGGGGGGAGGGCCCTGTCCCGCGGGGGGAGGGGGGCGCTCAGCGGGGAGGGGGAGGGCCCTGCCCCGCGGGGGGGGGTGGGCGCTCAGGGGCGGGGGGAGGGCCCTGTTCCCGCGGGGGAGGGGGCGCTCAGCGAGGGGGGAGGGCCCTGTCCCGCGGGGGGAGGGGGCGCTCAGCGTGGGGGGAGGGCCCTGTCCCGCGGGGGGGGGGCGCTCAGCGGGGGGGGGGGAGGGCCCTGTCCCGCGGGGGGGGGTGGGCGCTCAGCGGGGGGGGAGGGCCCTGTCCCGCGGGGGGGGGGTGGGCGCTCAGCGGAGGGGGGGGGCCTTGTCCCGCGAGGGAGGGGGGCTCAGCGTGGGGGGAGGGCCCTGTCCAGCGGGGGGGGAGGGCCCTGTCCCGGGGGGGGGGGGGCTCAGCGTGGGGGGAGGGCCCTGTCCCGCGGGGGGGGGGGGGGCTCAGCGTGGGGGGGAGGGCCCTGTCCCGCGGGGGTGGGGGGGGCTCAGGGGGGGGGGGGGCCTTGTCCCGCGAGGGAGGGCGGGGCTCAGCGTGGGGGGGAGGGCCCTGTCCCGCGGGGGGGGGGGGCTCAGCGTGGGGGGGAGGGCCCTGTCCCGCGGGGGGGGGGGTGGGCGCTCAGCGGGGGGGGAGGGCCCTGTCCCGCGAGGGAGGGGGGGGCGCTCAGCGTGGGGGGGAGGGCCCTGTCCCGCGGGGGGGTGGGCGCTCAGCGGGGGGGAGGGCCCTGTCCCGCGGGGGGGGGGGGGCGCTCAGCGGGGGGGGGGGCTTGTCCCGCGAGGGAGGGGGGCTCAGCGGGGGGGGAGGGCCCTGTCCCGCGGGGGAGGGGGGCGCTCAGCGGGGGGGGGAGGGCCCTGTCCCGCGGGGGAAGGGGGCGCTCAGGGGGGGGGAGGGCCCTGTCCCGCGGGGGAGGGGTGGGCGCTCAGCGGGGGGTCTCCCCGTGTCCCCCCGCGGGATCTCACCTGACGGGTCACTCCGGGGGGGGGGTCTCTCCCTAAGGGGGGGGCGGGGGGGTCACTGCCCGCGGCGCGGCGGCTTCTCTGTCACTTTCACTTTCTCCCGTTCCCGCCCCCGCCGCCGCCCGCACCATAGAGAGGCCGCGCCGGAAAGCCTGGCGCAGGCTCCCAGTGACGCCTCGTCGGCCATCTCAGGTAAGGGCAGGCGCCTGCGGCTAGGGAAGCCAAGCTGGAAGCCGCCATCTTCGATAAGAGCACGGTGGGGGCGGCCATCTTGGATAAGGGCAAGGCAGGGGCAGCCATGTTGAAGCTGCTGGTGATGCTTGAAGAAGCCGCCATGTTGGATAAGGGCAAGGCAGAGGGGCAGCCATGTTGGATAAGGGCAAGGCAGAGGGGCAGCCATGTTGGATAAGGGCAAGGCAGAGGGGCAGCCATGTTGAAGCTGCAGGCGATGCTTGTGTGCAGCAAGGGCCTTGTGTAAGAGCAACCACAGCGTGTGAGCGCCATTCCCTCCGACAGCGCCTTGTAACAACACCCTGGCCGCTGGCGGGTACAAGCCCCATCAGTGCAGGCGGGACATGGCCCCCGCCACCCCCTGGCATCGCTTGGTGTGGGGCGAACCCAGACAAAATGCCAAGGAGTCTCTCGCTGAAGGAGAAAGCGCAGATCGTCCGCGAGTGCCAGAGGCCGGGGGCCACTCAGAGCCAAGTGGCCGCTAAGTGGGAGTTGCGCCGGTCGGTCGTGTGCCGGATCTGGCAGCAGAAGGAAAAGCTGTTGGCTGACTATGAAGCCGGCCAGTCGAACGGCTGCCATAAGCGCGGGCGGGAAGGAAAAGCCCCTGCAGTCGATCGGGCTCTCTTTACCTGGCTCAAGGAGAAGAGGGCGCAGGGGGCACGGCTGCTGGACCCGCAGTCAAGGAAAAAGCCTGTCAGCTCGCTGCTTCCCTTGGGCTGAACGATTTTAAGGCAAGCGACGCTTGGTTTACCAGATGGAAGAAACGCTTCAATGTCGCCTGCAAAAAAGAGCAGGGTGGAAACCAGTCAGCAGGCAAACCCGCATCTGAGCAATGGCAGTGCGAAAACCTTCCTCATATCCTTGAAAAGTTTTCTCTGGCTGACGTCTACAGTGCTGATGAAGCAGGGCTTTATCTGAAAGGGCTCTGTGACAGAGGACATAGAGAAAATAATGAAAAGCTAGAAGGAGGGAAAGCGGCAAAGGACAGGGTAACTGTGCCCGCCTGTGCCAACATGGATGGGAGTGACAAACGCCCACTGTTCATGATCGGGAAGTTAAAACGACCCCAGTGCTTTCCAGAGTTTTTCAGGAAATTTCCCCTCAATTATGTCAGTTCAGCGAATGCCTGGATGACAGGTGAGATTTTCATCAATTGGCTGAAAAAGTGGGATCACCAGCTTTGCTGGCAGAGCCGTAAGATATGCCTCTTCCTGGCTAACTGCTCCATACATCCTCAAGGAGTGGTTCTCACTAACATTCAGCTCGAATTTTTACCCCCTAACGCTACATCTTCGCTGCAACCTATGGCTCAAGGTGTCATTGAGAACATGAAGGGACATTACCGATCAAAAATCGCCAGCCGGATTAATGTTGATCTTGATGTGGACCCCAACGCAGATGTTCAGACAGTCCTGAAAACTGTAAACTTGCTAGATTGCGTTCATCTTGTTGCTGAGGCCAGGCGAGATGTAAAGCCGACAACAATTTCCAACTGTTTCCGGAAAGGCAAATTTGTTGTGCCAGAGGAAGGTGGGCGAGACGAGGATATTGCAGAGTCTGACGACCCCCTGAACGATGTTCCACTTCCAGTCAACATGGAAAAAGAGGACTTAGTAGCTGCTGTGGCCGTGGATGAGGATCTGCTCATGTTCAGAGAGCTAAGCGATGAGGAATTACTGCACGCTGCAGCAAGGCCAGAGAAACGAGCTTGTGTTGATAAAACGTATCATAATCCAGAGGATAATCAAGAGAGTGAGGATGATTTTGATGAAGTTCCACCCCCGACAAACTCTGAGCTGTTGAAGGCTTTGAACACACTTTGGCACTTTTTGCAGCTAGAGGGACTTGGGGACAGGGTCTACCGGGCTCTTTGGTACCTTGAATCCCACCTTCAAAACAAAATTGTGTCAGAGAAGAAGCAGAGCAAATTAAGAGAGTTCTTGCACCCCAAATGAGTGAGTTCCTCCATGCTTCGTTTACAGGTTGATACACTGATGTGGAATAGTACTTTGATTTAGGTTGTTACAGTATTATTAGCTTAGCAGATGCCCATATCCAGGGTGACTTACAAAACATTACAGTACATGCCAGTACAAAAAGTGTCTATGAGGGGTGTTGTTTGTTGTCATGGTTGATGTTTGATTGTTCTTAAAACATAAACAGAAAAGTTGATACTTTTATAACTGTTAATTAAGGCTGCTTTCTTGCTACAATGTGGGCGTAGGCGACAAATGCAGACTGGAGCCACTGTTCAGCATGAACAGTACGTACACTAATGCAGTCCTGTAGCCACAGCAGTAAACATAGGCTGTATTGTGTCAGTTCTAGGCTGTTTGACACCTCAGAAAAAGCGGGCTGCCTTTGGTCAGATGACACTCCCCATAACAGCAACAGCCTCTTAGGAGCAACGTAGCAAAAGGGCACCGATATGTTGCTACTAATGAGCGTGTAATGTCAGTCTCACTCTACTACTCAGAAGGCAGCCATCTTGGATGAGAGGAGTTCGTAGTGGCCATCTTTGATGAGAGCAGCCTGAGTAAGACAGATCTTGGATGAGGGCAGACCAACTAGGGCTTCGAGGGGCATCCATCTTAGATGAAGGCGGATTCTCTGAGGTCTGAAGGAGTGGCCATCTTGGATGAGGGCAGACCACCTAAGGCCTAGGGACAGCCATCTTGGATAAGGGCATCCAGCCATCTTGGATGAGGGCAGCCTCACTGGGCAGCCCTCATCTAATGTGGCCTCCATGTCCCCATCTCCCAGCTGTGACTGTGCCCCAGTTTTGTCTGGCTCAGGCTGCCCAGGTGCTTGCAGGCTGTCCAGGGAGGCTGGGCAGGCAGCCTGAGGCTTGTGCCCAGGTGTCAGGGAACCGAGTTGGAGCCTAAGCTGCAAGTGGAGGCTGATCCTGGTGGGGGGCGGCCCAACAGACCACGTGCAGCTGCAGGGCTGAGCCCGCAGGCCAGACTGTGGGACCGGAGCATGGCCCAGCAGTGTTGCCTGATTTTAGGAGATTAATAATATTGTTTAGATAACATGGGTTATAGGCTCACCAATTAATCTGATCAGAAGATAATAAGATTCTTGTCCCAGAATCAGGCTACACAGCATGTGCAAGGACCCTCAGGATGTATGGCAAGGACACTCACACTGAGAACAAAATGTAGCCTTAAAGACTTCTGTTGAGACAAATGGAATAGTAATCAAATAATCAATCAATTACGAAACCATAATATTGTTCTAGCAGTACATGTGGTATTATATACAATAAAGGTTTCTCAATTAACACACTCGCACCCTTCCTTGATAACCTGGTGATAAGAGACAAAGGACCAGCCTCGTCTCTGGCATGCCAAGAGAGTCTGATGGTTCAGGTTTCTCAAATTTTGAGTGGGAGGTGAAGAACCTAGTTGAAGCTAGAGCTAAAGCTAAAGACTGTAGAAGCTAACTTAGAGTTACTTAAGAACTAACAAGGACAAACCAAACAATGAATGAACTGAACTGCACGGACACGGTGGACTGTCCTTCTGACAGCGCCTGAGCACTGTTTGCCCAGCTTCCATGTCCAAACTTAATTTCCTCGCCGAAATATCAGGTGCACTTACTCTACAGGCTGGTATGTCCTTGCGTATTGATGACCATTTAGCTCATTCTCACCTCTGTTTTTTCTGGCCGCACCAGTTATTTCCATGTTTTTTGTGGTGTACCTGTTAAGTCTGAAAAAGGCCATGAACGTAGGTGGTCATATCTACACCAACTTGCTTTAACTTGCTCACTTCTCTATGTTAAAGGCCACACACATACATATACTTTCTGCTTTAGCTCAGCACCACCTATCTTGGCTGACGGTCTCCAACATGTGTCTGCTAACTTGCTTTAGCTCAACATACAGGATGTGGCCTGTAGGTTCCTTGCATTACAGCCAATAATACACCAATACAAATGGATAAACCCATTCTAATAAAACAAATGATCAAACCCATAAGAAAAGATATATAGGCAAGCAAGCAGGCTAGCCCTATAGGCTACAGCAGGGCCGCACCGCTCCCTCCCGCTCCTCCGTTGGCCTAGCTGCAGCCACCTGACACCCCTTGTCTCACACCCCCATTGTCAGCTCCTCAGGGCCGAGGCCATCCCCGTGCTGTGGCTGTATAGCGCCTAGAGCAGCTGGGCCCTGGTGTGCGACTGGGGCGGGAGGCTCTGCTGCGGCACCGATAATACATAACGCTGGTGATAGGGCGGGGCAGGGGAGGGTGAAGGGTGGAGCCTTTTGTTCTATTTAATGTTAATTATATTACTGTGGGTTCAGCTCTGGCGACTACAGTCTCAGTTTCAACAGAGTTATCTTTGTTTGTTCTGGATCTAGAGCCCTTAGGAACACATGAAATCATAGGCAAATAACACAGACAATTACAAGAGTATCTATCTTGTAGTAGTTTTATTAAAGTTACCAACCGAGTTATAAGTGTCACAGCATATACAATTCCTAAAGAGAGGAACCGTGTACCAGTTATACCTACAGACATACTCACATCCTCCTAGACGGTGTTAGAGAGTCCGCTGGCCCTCTCATGGATTGACCATCAATGCTGGCGTGGTTCCTGCTGGAGTTTCCTGTAGGAAGCTAAATTTTCCTGCCCTGGGCACCCCTTCTTATTCTGTGAGTCTGTCTATACCTACATTCTGTACATGTACATGAAAGTGTCAACCCTCTCTTCCTTATTGGTCTGTGTCCTTTAGAAACACAAGGGACCCCGAATTCTAGAGGCTGGGGAGGTTCTCATTAACATCAATGTACCACTTTATCTTGTGGTTAAGGCACGTGTTGGAGACAATATTTATTGTTACAACATTTTATCATTTAAATTTAATCTTCCCGGCTACACTTTCACATTATTACCAGTTGGTACCTCTTTCCCCATAATCATTTGGGTTAGTTCTCGGTCATTGATTTACACCATCATTTCTTGTCAATCAGGGCAAAAAGAGAGGCAGGCAATCAGGGCCGGGCTGGGCCCTATATAAAGGCTGCCTAGCAAAGGAGAGGGCAGTCTCTCCCTGACTAGCAAGGGAGGAGGACTGGCTCCTGGGGTAAGGTGGTAGCACCTTGGACAGAGCAGTGCTGGGCAGGCTCGGAGGAGCAGAGAAGAGCTTCGGCCCAGTTACTTGCCAGGCTGCGACTCCTGCTAAAAAGGGGTCAAGAAGGTGCATGGGGCCAAAGGGGAAGTGGCCCAGGGAAGATAGGTGGACAGGAGGGAAGTGAAGGAAGGCAGAGAGAGAGGCTGCTGCTAGAGGGTCCCTGGGTCAGGACCCAGAGTAGCGGGTGGGCCTGGGTTTCCCCCTTCCCCGCACTTACACTGCACCTGGCCACAGAGGAGTGGGGCCAAGACAGACTGCGACTTGCGCTGAGGTGAGGGGCTAGACTTTGGGGTTGTGGTTGGCCACTGAGACAGGTGCAAGCCAAAGGACTGTTGTTACTTCTCTCCCAACCTCCTGGAAGGGGGTGAGAAGGGAGTAGTGGGTGCTGCCGGAGGGCAGTGTCCTGAAGCAGACCCCACCGAGCAGGGAGCAAGGCAGTTCCCAAATCAGCAGAGCAGACAACAGGTGAGACACCACGTGCAGAGGGCACTCCACAGCTGACAAGAGCTAATTTCTGGAGCAACCAACCGGAGGTGCCAGCGACGGTGAGTCCTGACCCTGTCACAACCCCATAATGCTTTATAGAATTATGCTTATGAGTGTAAATATGACATAACTGGAATGTTTTAGGCTAAATATGCCATGTAACATATCTTTGCAAAGGTTATGTTCTACTGAATGCATTCCCCCTATTTGTATGTATGGATCATTTTTATATCTGGAGTTAGGAGCATTGGCTGTATGCTTGTATTTAAAGTATTTGCTGTAGGAAGCACCTAAGGCAGATTTGGTCAAATAGTGTGAAGGGGTTATTCAAGTAATTGGGACCACTTAGCTACAATGGACCTTGAGAGACGCCAATCCACATCTGAGCTTTCCTGGGAACGTTCCGGCTAACATGTGGGCAATGGCGTCGGCCTGTAGAGAACTGGGTCATGCATGGACATCTAATTTGCCCATGTGACTCCAAAACTCCATCTCGTAGCTGTGATTCTACACAGGGAGAGAGAGGGGTTTCCGCCCACAAGAGAGAGAATATATAAGCCCTGGAAACCCCTCCATTTTTGTCTTCAGATGGCTCAAGAGATGCCTGAAAGAAACTGGAACAAAGGACGGTAACTACAGGGGTGTGAGTGATTGCTGGACCTAGACTAGGAATCATAGAATATCAGGGTTGGAAGGGACCTCAGGAGATCATCTAGTCCAACCCCCTGCTCAAAGCAGGACCAATCCCCAACTAAATCATCCTAGCCAGGGCTTTGTCAAGCCTGACCTTAAAAACCTCTAAGGAAGGAGATTCCACCACCTCCCTAGGTAACGCATTGCAGTGCTTCACCACCCTCCTGGTGGAAAAAGTTTTTTTCCTAAAATCCAACCTAAACCTCCCCCACTGAACTTGAGACCATTACTCCTTGTTCTGTCATCTGCTACCACTGAGAACAGTCTAGATCCATCCTCTTTGGAACCCCCTTTCAGGTAGTTGAAAGCAGCTATCAAATCCCCCCTCATTCTTCTCTTCTGTAGACTAAACAATCCCAATTCCCTCAAACTCTCCTCATAAGTCATGTGTTCCAGTCCCCTAATCACTTTTGTTGCCCTCCGCTGGACTCTCTCCAATTTTTTCACATCCTTCTTGTAGTGTGGGGCCCAAAACTGGACACAGTACTCCAGGTGAGGCCTCACCAATGTCGAATAGAGGGGAACGATCACGTCCCTCGATCTGCTGGCAATGCCCCTACTTATACAGCCCAAAACGCCATTGGCCTTCTTGGCAACAAGGGCACACTGTTGACTCATCTCCAGCTTCTCGTCCACTGTAACCCCTAGGTCCTTTTCTGCAGAACTGCTGCCGAGCCATTCTGTCCCTAGTCTGTAGCGGTGCATGGGGTTCTTCCGTCCTAAGTGCAGGACTCTGCACTTGTCCTTGTTGAACCTCATCAGATTTCTTTTGGCCCAATCCTCTCATTTGTCTAGGTCCCTCTGTATCCTATCCCTACCCTCGACTGTATCTACCACTCCTCCCAGTCTAGTGTCATCTGCAAACTTGCTGAGGATGCAGTCCACGCCATCCTCAACATCATTAATGAAGTTATTGAACAAAACCGGCCCCAGGACCGACCCTTGGGGCACTCCGCTTGATGCCGGCTGCCAACTATACATGGAGCCATTGATCACTACCCGTTAAGCTTGACAATCTAGCCAGCTTTCTATCCACCTTATAGTCCATTCATCCAGCCCATACTACTTTAACATGCTGGCAAGAATACTGTGGGAGACCATATCAAAAGCTTTGCTAAAGTCAAGGAATAACATGTCCACTGCTTTCCCTTCATCTACAGAGCCAGTTATCTCATCATAGAAGGCAATTAGGTTAGTCAGGCATGACTTGCCCTTGGTGAAGCCATGCTGACTATTCCTGATCATTTTCCTCTCCTCCAAGTGCTTCAGAATTGATTCCTTGAGGACCTGCTCCATAATTTTTTCCAGGGACTGAGGTGAGGCTGACTGGTCTGTAGTTCCCCAGATCCTCCCCCTTCCGTAATCTAGTCTGTAAAAGAAGCTTATTGGAACATCTGAGGGTGAGATTTACCTGCATTTAGTTTTTTACTGTATTAGGCTTAGACTTGCATGTTTTTGTTTTATCTTGCTTGGTAATTTACTTTGTTCTATCTGTGATTTAAGTGGTTCCCAGTAATCCTACTTTTTATATTCACCCAGAGCAACTATTAATATCTGGGGGAGCAAACAGCTGTGCATCTCTCTATCAGCGTTCTAGAGGGTGAACAACTTATGAGTTTACCCTGTATAAGTTTTATACAGACTAAAACAGATTTATTTGAGGTTTGGATCCCATTGGGAGCTGGGTGTTGGAGTCAGGAACACTTCTTAAGCTGTTTTCAGTTAAGCCTGCAGCTTTTGGGGGACATGGTTCAGGCCTGGGTCTGTGTTTGTAGCAGGCTAGTGTGTCTGGCACAACCAGGCAAGGCACTAAAGTCCCAAGCTGCCAGGGAAAATGGGTTCAGAGGTAGTCTCAGGACATCAGGTGGCCGTCCCGAATCGGTTTCTGTGACCCAACCTGTCTCAGGTTCTTGCGTTTCAGCTTGTCTTACTCATGTCTAATAGTTGGTTCCTCTAAATACTGATCAA